TCCCAAGTAAAATATGAAAAGATATATCTTTGTAACTGTTTTTTACGTGATTAGTCTTTGTCAAAGGGCGACACTAGTACTGCAAAAATACAGGATATTTCTTTGAATGTGAGCGTTATTTCACAATTTCAAGATTCATAGCTGATAGGTATATATTTTTAATTAATTATATTTTTTAATTTTATTATTATTTAGTTGTTTCTCGCAATTTCAGTAGTAAGGAGTCATACGTTAGGATAAATATCTTTTGTATACCTAGATTTCTGTTATCGAAGAACATTTTATTTGACTTCATTTGATAAGATTTCTCAAAAAAAAAATGAGTGAATTAACTCAATACCTTTTCAATAAAGTAAAAGAAAGAAGAGAGCTAATAATAAAATATATGATTTTTAAAACCAGCAATCGAGACAGAAAAACTAAGTAAATTGTTACGTTTTTTGACTCTATTATGAAAAATTAAAAAATGCGTTTTTGAAATAAAATTAGTACATGAGGGGCAGAATATATCTAGTATTGTTAAAAACAAATGCTATGAATGAATTTTACATCCGTTGACCCACACCAACGTTGTATAGAATAATACCTAATATCCCATAAATATTACAACCCACAGTAAATGCAAAAAAAAAACAAGCTCAACTAGTTTTCTACACTAACATTTTGAAATACTGGCTGGAGCCATACATGTTTGTGTACTTTATACAAGCAAAACTTTCTATTTATAACTACATACTTCTATTCTTGCAAATACCTATATAAAGCTTATATGTACATTGCAAAAAATTAAAGTAAGCCCTCTTGGTGTTTTCTGAATAATAATATATCAACGTAGGATGTCAGCCATTTGTTCAAGTCATTTAGTTATAAGTTCATTCAACTCCAGCCAGCAACAAAAACTCAATATTAAATAGTCCGTTTCCGTTCAGTGGGGGAACTTTTTCTCGAAGATATGTATGTCTTACTATCTTTATATTTAGATGCCATTTTACACGACGTAAACAGATTTTATTTTTTATTGAACTACACATTTAGAAATCGCCAGATTACGTTTTATTTTCGTTTAGAACCGTTACATACAGTGTGTCCCGAGTTTGAATATCAACAATGATATGTGGTTATAATTTACGCATTTTTTAAATTTAAAGTATTTGGATGAATATTTATTTTGCCAAAATCAAATTTTTACCCTTCTTTAATAACTAGTTTCCGCCAGTCAACACTGCAAATTGTATTTTATTTTTCAATTTAAATAGATATGAATCTCTTTCTAACACGTTGAGCTTATAGCAGACCGCAAGTAAACGGCAAAGTCACAGCTGAAGATGCTGACAATGACGAACGGCGAAATATATGGAAATATTTGATGCGCCAGTTACAGAGGTTACTAAATCAATATCAGAGTAAGCCTAGAAGTTCTGATAGCGGGTTGCCTCCACATAGCCTGGCCTGAGAACAACAAGGGCAGGTCAAGGATTCCTGCTAAGGAAGTGCATTGTAAGTCACCCACACAACCCAAAAAATAATGGTACCCACCCATATTAACTACTGATATACTAATTTCACTAATTTGGAACATAGAATATTGTAAAGAGTAAAAATAAAGTGTTATTTAAAAAATCTTCTCTAGGATTGTCTGTAAGAAGTGGTGTTCTGCTACGCAAAACTAACATACCTGCACTTTTCTGTATCTGATAATTTTTATATCTATCAGTTTCTGTTATGATTTAAAAACAGAATTATTCCCTAGTTGTGTATTAGTCTCGTCTGGAAAAACGTCTTAAATCATTGCGCCGAAATTATCAATCAATTTTTTATGAGCTATTCAAAAATGCAGATAATTAATAAAAGGCAATGAACACATTATTAGGTATATTACTATATGTTGTTTACTGAAGATAAAATTTCGAAAAACTATCAGTATTCGTTCTCAAAATTGGCAGCTGAGGTATCCGAGTTACTTCGTATATGAATTATTTGACTAATTTTAAGCAAAAATGATTCTATCCACTTTTCCCGAATTCCCGACAGTTCTTGAAATATCGGGGTTTAAAGCTAGACTAGAGGGCTTAAAAAAGAGTGGATACTTTTCATTTTTCATAGTAGGACGGAGCATTATCATGTAATATCATTCTTCTCATCTGAAGAGGAATGTCCGGAAGTAGTAGAGGTAGATTGTTCTCCAAAAAAACCCGGTACATCTCGCTGTTCAAATTTCCATTGAAGAAATGTGGTCCGATAACTTCATTATTAATTATTCCAGCCCAAACGTATACCGATACTTCTCTTAAAATGCGTTTTCCTAATAGCATGAGGGTTTTCGATTGTCTACCATGATCGTTGTGGAAATTGTTGCATCTCTCGTAAATGTAGCTCTGTCGCAGAAAAGGGTTCTTAAAAGAGTATCCAGTAGATTGCTCCACCATTCATAAAGGTGGACTCTTTGGGGTGATCCGTTGGGAGAAATTCTTGTACCAGTTGATAACGATAGGGATGCAGTCTGTTTTCTCGCAAAGTGTCTTGTACATCCATCCTACTTTGTCTTTCACAAGTCGATTTAGGAAACGCACCTGTTAATCGAAGAGTTGTGAAGGTTCTATTGAACGTTTACTTGTCTGGAAGAGGGTGGTTTGGATATCGTCGTTGATATTCCCTAACTGAAACGGTGGTAGGTACTACCGATGCAATATGCAATATAATTAAAGGCATAATTTTATGACAAATGAAGCAAAAAATAAAAAAGAACCAATATCAATTATCAATGATGACAATTAACTAAATGACAATCAACATTTTTTTTCTAATCTCAACCAAATTGTTAATTATTAAATTACCTAGCCCATTAGTCGCAACAATGTAATTTACTCTTTAACAACTATACCCATACGATCCAACCCAACTTCAAACTCCATAAATTTTAGAAATTCTAACTTCGTAAATATTGAAGATGAAGAAGAAACATAATTTATTAGGGTGAAGAAGATGTTAGCTCTTATTTCTTAACTGTCATCCTTGCGCATCACTCATGTTTCAGTATTAGTCTACCATTGGTAAAATTGTTGCAATTAAATGAGATGAGTTCGTGTTTTATTAAAAAGAGGGATAATACAATTATCACGAATCGGTCAATATATTATTGATAGATAATGAATGTAGACAAAATGTTGCGGCACCCCAGGGAGCACCTTTAGCGCACTTACTACGACATACAGTTAGAATACAATGCAGAAAATTTGTATTTATATCTTAGCAAAATGTTCAAATTTTCGTTTTAATTAGTTAAAAAAAGTTTTGTTGTAAATTTTTTAGATATAATCAGATATGCTTGTAGATAGTACAACAGCAATACTTCCAGCAGGTCATCATTAAATCACAGATAATTCCTTGCCAAATTAATAACATGTTACATTTGACTATTAAAAAAACATGGAGAAAACAAGTGATTATGTATGAGTTTTTGTTTAATTACAGCAAATATCAAAAAATAACTTTTCCATCTATATTTCCGAGATTACAGCAACTTCAATTTTTTGGAGCGCAATAATTTCCCATTTCTTTAATACAACATACCTATTCTTCTCAGAAATTCAATATGCCACTTGTCAGATCTTACTGTAAAGACATACCAACTGTTTTTTAACATACATAAAAAAAGGAATCAATATTTAAATAGGTAGGTATATGTAAGTATTTTGTCTTTGACATTCTGACTTTCAACTTTATCCTAAAATGGGACATTTTCCCCGTTAAAGAGAGGACATCTTAAAATCAATCTTAACCTTATACCTGAAGGAGAAACCGCAAGAATAATTTGGAGTACATCTTAAGTAATACCTCGAGTACTTAATATTGAGTACTATTTGAGTAATTCTTCGACAATTGAAAGTGTTATTTATGCTACATTTACGATGAGCGCATGTATAGAGGAAAGTAGAAACCCATTTTTATCAATAAAATATACCGTGAGGCATCAAATCAAATACAAACTTGGCGGTGGATTCGAAAATAAATATAAAGTCAATATAGTTCCTGTAAGGTAACTATTGTAATTTTGTCGCAAAATATTAGATGAAAAACATTAATATGTTTGGAAAGCCCTCAAAAGACATCAAACTAATTCAACTATTTGATAATAAATGAATGAATTATTGGAGACATATATACATCATTCCCTTGAATTTGTGACTACAAATTAAGAAGTTAGGTAATCATTCCTGTACATTTAGAGAACATACCCTCTTTTTTATGATTCAAAACTATAATAATTGTAGATATATTTAACTAAGTAGGTACCTAGTAAATAACCGTTTAATTTTGAATAAGATCTTCCAAGAAATCGTGTATCTTCTAAATATTCCATTGAACACTTATGTTAGGTAAGTAGGTATGTATATATACGTTTAGCTTTGGGCTTTAGGTAGGCAATATTCAAGTCTCATTTTTTAGTGGTCTAATTAGTTACCTACTTTGATGAGGAAGAAATTTAAGTTAAGCTAATTAAGTATTAGTAGACCTACTATAAGATGAGTGCATATGAATATTTCAATGAGTTAATACGACGGACTTGTTTATTACAATTCTGATTAAAAAAATCATTCATTTAAAAAAATGGAGATGACGTAACAATAAGATAAGTATGTTTATGAAAATTAAAACCAATTTGTTTAAACATTCTTGATTCTTAAGAATAAGTATTTTTAATTAGTATTTTTCACCGATTCTGAATGTATTTATATTTCTCGGTAGTACGTATCTATTTCGTAATAAAGGCGCAATTTACATTTCATTTTCCCAAAGATAAACTAAAAATATATTCGGGTCACCAGAAATGAATTAGATATTCACTAAATAAAAATGAATGCTTTTTTACTAGATACGTCCCTCGCCAATTTACGTTGCATATCTGAATGCATACTGACCCCGACAAACGTAAATTATTTGTTTACCACACTCATGCCAAGACACCGAAGACACTATAAATATAAATAAAGTACACTTACCTCGGCTACCGTAATCTACCGGGATAACGTCCGTTCGGATGCAGGCATTCATTAATCCTTGCCGAAAGGGTCGCATTGGCTCTGAATTGACACTGCACATCAAGGGTGGCACTGTATATATTTAGAGGGTGAAGAAACGCAAGGCCGCCTGTTGCGCACAGTCAGTCACGAACACAAGAGTTTACTTGGCGGCCATGTCAGCTAGTGTCGACGGCCTTTTAACCTATGTTTTCGGTTTTTTATGACCGAAACTTATGCTTTAGAGAATCCTCCTTTCCTACACTGTGATATTCTTATAATATTATACTATTAATGGGAGTTTTATTGCACTTTGAAACAAAAAAAAATTCACGAGGATGCTCTTTTCAATGAATCTTAAACCTTTCTGCATAGAACAGAGTTGATGCCAATACCCTAGGACGCATGCGCCAGCTATCAACCTCGCTTGGTTGAGATGCTTTTGCCTCTCTCGAATTCCTGGTATGCGTATTTTCATTATCCTATGTCAGCCTAATATACAGTATGTGTTTCCCCTTTTTGCTAAACATTGCCGAGTAAAACCATAACTGATAAATTGTGTGGGCATCAAATTGTTCAAATTATTCTGTGTTTCTAGTTATTCCACATTTCTTTTTGCGGTGTAGAATTTATTTCAAATTGCCACGATACGATAGCACAATTTCTTTTCAATTAATAGTAAGTAGAATGTAGATACGTAGGTATTATGCATGTCATAACTGTCATCTATTCCTATTCTCAAATCATAGAACTATAGTATTAGATCTATATCCCTAACGTAGGATAATGTAAATTATTCCCATAATAGTAAGGTAAAGAATATAATATATAAGAATATAAGAATATAATAGAATTTAGATGCTAAATTAAAACGAATTTAAATTTCATTATTAGAAAAACGCATGCTATGTTACTTTAGTAAGAGGTTTTCACGGGATTCAATAATTCGTGGGTATTTCAACTTTGAACTGCTGCTATTTTCAGTCACCCATTTGTGACAAAATAAGTAAATATTTACTGCATTCACAGTAGGTATGTCACTGTGTGACGTAAGTAGGGTAATTCTGCTGAAAAGATAACATAAACAGGTGCTGTGTTTATTAATTACTATTGAACATTATTAAATGTAGTATAAAAGATATCTTCATATACTACTATTCGCCTACCAGACAAAAATTATAACTGCTAACTGCTGGAAGACAAAATGAAATTACGCACCCTGCACGGGATGGTATGGTACAGCCCGCCATTCATTCTCATTCATGTTCAAAACGAGCCCCGCTAACATATACGGAATTAGAAGCTCACAAATGAATGAATGAATGAATGGAAGACTCACATTTACACACTTCACTTAATAAAGACCCAAACTAACCGGAAGTACAGACGAAACATCTGGGTATAGATATTTCCAAACGGAACTACGTTTTATACTTTATTCATTCGACTGTAGGCCCCACTGCATATAGCAGAAGCAGAACATGAATAGGGTTTTATGTTGAAAGGGGGCAGGGACATCTTTAAGGCGTTGAATGAAAAAAAATACATTGATGTTAAAGTACGTAATGTGAACGTGTAACTTGTTATCAGCAAGAATATACTTAGCTGTAATATGCGCCTTGAACAACCGTTATCGAAATACGTGAATTTAAAAAAATCAAACCAGATTTTATATTATTATTATGTAATTTTTATCAAATAGACTGTGAAAAGGGTAAAGCAAATATACTTTATCTAATTTGAATAAGTATATTAGTGACTAAAACAAAATTAAGGAAATAAAACTGGCAGTTTGTGTAGTTATTGTAGTTTTGCATTTCATTTTGTATTCACAAATGTCTCAATTTTTTTTATTGTTGAGTCAATAGGTAGAGGAAATGACATGGTCTGATCACCACGTTCCTCTGACCTGAATCCTCTTAATTTTTATTTCTGGGAACAAATTAAATCAGTTATTATTTTTTTATGCCATTACGATTACCATTTCATTCAATACATAAGTTTATTCCTTTATAAAAGGTTTGTTTAACTCTAGGAAGGTAACTGCATTTTGAATTATTTGCTACAACTCAGCGCAAATATTAATAGATACTCAGAAACAGAAATTAAGTGGATTTAGGTCGGAGGAACGTGGTGATCAGACCATGTCATTTCCTCTACCTATTGACTCAACAATAAAAAAAATTGAGACATTTGTGAATACAAAATCAACGCAATCATTTCCTCCACTTAGCCAACAATTTGGAAAACATATTGTGAACATTCCTTTTTGTTTAAATTAGTTAAATTGAATTTAATTCATCCAATCGACAGCTTCTGTAAATCTAAAAGTTAAAGAGTAATTTCCCAAGGTATGGGAATTTCCAGTAAAGTCCAAATTATTATTTTTTTAAATAGTTTTTGCCCTAAAGTTACATAAAAATAAGTTATATACATGATCTTTAATTTGTAGCCTTTACAAGTTATATCAAAAATCGATTAATTAAAGTAAAAACGATGTAAAATAAAAAAGATCTGTTTTCGAGATAAAAGCCATTTTTTGTTTTACTTTTCTAAACAGGACGCTAACTTTTGATAGAATTTTTAGAAAAAAAAATGAATTTATTCGATTTGGCCTTTAAAATAAAGTAAAAATTCTAAAATTAATAATAGAATATACATACAGGCTGTTACAAATTCGCTTCTCACTACAGAGATCTCGGAAACGGTAAGAGATACGAAGTAGCTTAAATGGGGGCAAAGTTACATAATCACGGGACCATTATGCCTGTAAAAAATCAAGAATAACATGATTAGTTTTTGAAATATTTGCAAAAAAACAAAATTTTGGAAATCCGTTTTTGTTTCATTTCAGCCTTGTTTGAGGTGATATTGAAAAAAGAAGAACACATTCTCATGGCAACTTTTTACCCTCTATCGATTGGCATAATCAATTTTTATATGAAACGTTTCGTCTCTCCAGGACCACCTAACTTAATTTTTTTTAAATACGACCCTGGAAATTTTAATACTTTTTTGCAAGCCTTCATGACCCCCAATACTGTACTGCTTCAGTTCGAACCAAATTCAGAGGTTTTGTCTCTAAAACTTTATCTTCATTGTATTCTTTCCTTTAAATATATTTTTTTAAGATTTCTGTTTCTTGAATTATCGTACACTCTAAATGCCGTTAGACCATGTGAAATCTACCTAGTTAGTTAAACTATTACCATCACAAGTTACAATAAAATATAAATAGAATTTTAATCTTAAAACAAAATAAAAATAGCCACGATAGATAAGATTTCAATGATTTTTGCGAGTATAATATTAGAACAACAATAATCCCTACAAGATATTTATTTCAAAGATTATAGTTAAAACTATCAATTGAGAAGTATGTGCTTTTGCTTTTGTGTTAATACCATTTAGACATTTTTAATGCTTGTTTTAAATAAATATTAATTACTAGCTTTTTCTAGATATTGCTAGTCGAAGCATATGTAGCTTATAGAATAGTTGTTCCTCTCAGAATCGTCAGAATGGTATCAAGGACATTGTTTAACTTCGTTTGATAGGAATTTTAGATTTGAATTTATTTGAATTACCTAAAAAAATTTAAAATATTTTATCAAAAGTCTATAACTTCTTTATTGACGTAATAAAGACAATAAGGAAGTTATAAGGTGTGAATGTTCATATTCTGAAAAAAATATATATAAAATAAAATTGGACACAAACCTCTTGGTACTTATTTTTCCCGACCATTTTTTCCAAAAATTTTATTCTTCTAGCAGAGACCCTCTGGATCTCGAGTAAAAGCAAGCCCAACCAGTCCGACTATGAGAACATGAGAACAACTACTAAGCATCATGGGCGTAGTTAGAAGGGCACAAGGGTCATTTTTCTTACAGCGCCGACTGCGCGATCTTTTTTTTATAATGTTTATATTGATAAGTCACTGATTGCGTGAGCCTTTCTTTTCTTTTTAGAATGAAAGCAAAAAGTGTTTAGCGTTTGAAATTTTACATCGGCAAGTCACTGATTGTGTTTTTTTTATTTAGAGGCCTCCATAGAGCTTGCAGCCTTAGTCCTCACCATAGATTAATATTGCCCTGGGCCCACTCTAGGCAAAAATCCTAGCTACGCAGAACATCAGAAGAATATTAGTTCTCGCTCTAAAAGTATGGAAAGTAATAAAGTGGAGTGATTTTTAGTAATTTTAAAAGCAACTTCCCCTAAAAGTTCAGGACAATCCATCTCATTTCCCCAAGTTTATACAAAAACTTTAAATAAATACATTTTCTTAACTCTAAAGAATCAACTTTAAAACTATTTGTTAAATGATTATTATAATCAACTTGTCTTACAGGATATTCACCATCAACCTTTAGAGCTAAATAATTAAAAAATCCCATTCGTACTCTTTCCACTGCGTAAACATGAGAAATGTAGGTATAAGGGGTAACAGATCAAACATCCATATTTTAACTTTAAAAAAATTATGTAAAAAGGTAGGTACTATCCGTTGTAAAAATCTCGGGAGATAATTTAAGACACCCCGTATTCAATAAAGCATTTTCAGAAATTCCGACTTGAATACCCTATATTTCAAAAATTAAGCATCTATTGTCTGCCACTAGAAATAGTTTCGTTTATGCATTTCAAAGTACCTTACATTTTTTTCCACTTAAAAAAATATTTCGTGAATATTTGGCGATTTTCAATTGAGTTGTTGAATAAATTGTTTATTTTAACTAGAAGACTCTATTATACCCAATTTTTCTACAAGGTCAGTATTTTTATGCTTATATAGACTTTTTCATTTCTCTATATCAAATATTATAACTCGGGGGAACTGTAGAAATGTAGATGTTGAGTGAGGAAATTGGAAAATAACCCACGCAGTTAGCGTTCCGCTTTAAATCTTTGTGGCTTGAACTTCCGCTGTGACGTCTTTGCGTAGGAGTGAGTTGTTAATCTAAATTAATAAATTATAATTTAAATCATTGTTCGAGGAAAAAGATTTTTTTCCATTTAAATTTCGTGGAAGAATATTTTAATTTTGATTTTAAAAATAAGTTAGTAACAAGGTATCGTATCTACGTAATTAATAAGGTTTTAAAAATCCATTACAGTGGGTAGAGAATTTTATAAAAATATGTATAAAGGTTTTTTTCGATAGCTGGTAAATATTGAAGGTTCACAATCATCTGAATACCGTGTCGCACAAATGTATAGACTCACTGTAATGATATACACATTAGAGACACAGCTTATAGACATCGCCGTGATTGTGACATATAGGTATGAAGTTAACAATTTCCTACTAAAAATTCGCAGACATTTGGACATTTTATATCAACACAAATATATAAGTACATTTATTGCAACAGCTTTCATATCTGAATTCAAAAAGGCCTATAGATCGATGTCTCCAAGTGTAGTCTGGTGAAATAGTGTTTACAGGGTGTAACTTTAATTGTGTGTTAACTTTTAAGTTTTTTTTTAATAATTATTTCAGTTCTAATTTGTTTTTCAAGCTGCACTTAAACTCTTATCTACGCCGTCATTGAGCAGCACCCGAATTCGGTAATGTACGCTCGCTTATCAGTGCCGCCTGTTGGTACCAGTTTAAATCAACTTTGTAAAACTATCGGAGTGGAAAGAGCGAAACTGCTATGGGAAATAATTTTGTAGCAACAAATTGCTTTTGTATGACTTTTGGATATTATTTTAAAGTCACCGTATATTTATATGATAATAATGTGGAGGAAGCGTAAAATATTAAAAATTATATTACTTTGTAATAAGGAAAACTTATTTATGTTTTAAAATAATTATTGTTGCTGTTCTATAAAACGCACATGACAAATATAAATAAAATTACTAATCTGATAGTTTGAAATGTTTTTTAAGATCATTTCAAGTTTTTAATGCTATTCATATTTTTAAAGCACTTTGTTTAGTTTGTAAATCCCAGTGTCAACTATTTCTGACATTGATCAACTTAGGTGACATATCAGTCCAACTGATTAAAATATTACCTTAAAATAGATGGAGAGGGCGGGTGTATGGTGTCTGAAACCTTTGTATATTAATTGTTGGAAAGCAATGTTAGAAGAAGACATAGACTGGTTTCGAACTTGTGATTCTGCTGATGAACGATCTTAACAATTTACTAGATATTTGGGATGTAATTCAATGCCAGTTGAGGCATACAGCCCGTGAGGAGGTTATTCCTCATATCATTAGTTAACAAATAATTTAATTTTTAATATTAGTTTTGTTACTTTTGCTGCTTCTAATGTGAGATTATTAACATTATTCGAAAAATTTATTCACGCTAGTTCGGTACTATAGCCATGTGTTCAAAGCACCTAACATGTTAGTACGTCAATAGGTACATGTGCTAGTAGAGATGAAGTAGCAATGACATTTATGTCTTATTTTATCTAATAAAATTATTTAAAAACATTCTTAAAATGAACTAATACTAAACAGCATAAATGATAATTGAAATATCCATCATAATGGAATAGTCACTTTAGTTTAATATGTGATTCCCCCTCCATCAATTCATCAGAGAAACCAAAATGAATCTGATGGATACGTAACCAATAAATTCACCAGTTTAATTAGAAACTGTTTAAGTTTGTGACTATAGTTGGAAGCAGAAATGTTGTTGATCCTTCCGATCTGGAGTAAACAGAAAACCATGGGAAACATTACAAGGAGTTGCACAATTTTAACTTCTGCCCCACAATTTCAGAAATTTCTTCTACTACGTCCCCTTTATTACATAATATTAACTATTAGACATGTCAAATTGAGAGTATTGTGGTGAAAAATTTGACCTACCTACCTTTTTGTAACATTCAACACACATTCAAAAGGTTTGAATTCCTCCTATTGATTAGGTGTAAATTTTGGGTAAACTCTTTTAAATAAAACAATGTTTAACATTTGTCCAAGTATTTTATTTAATAAAATAAGTTAAATTTATATAAATTAAATTTCTTTCTTGGTTTTTACAAAAAAGTCTATTTTTAATAGCTATTTTAGCAGTGAGAGCTGGTGAAAAAAGGAGTGACAATATTCGTATCAAGAAGCATGAGGCCATACTGTTTTTTACGAGACGCCAACAAAAAGGACTTTCATGCTAAAACTACATATTTCAACTGCAATTTTTGAAATAAGAAATTAAAACAGGAGTGCATTTGCCGGGATCTCAAAAGGATTGAACGTACACATGGAAAAATTTGTTTTTCAAAATAGTTAAATTAGTTTTCTTTTTTATTTTTAAAAAAAATAATTTTTTTTCGTAGTTATACCTATATGAAAATTTTGCGCAAAATATAAAACACTTAATTGGATTTATTAGTTGATTATGATTTACATTAATTTGCAACCCTTTGCGGTAGCATCCCCTATTTTAATATATTATTTCAGAAATTTTGCTCAAAAGCTTTCCATCACAAAAGGTCTCTTTATGGGCCTAGAAATCATTACCTGAAAAGGTGTGTCATAATGCCTATTTATGAAAACATGACCACTTCATTTTTCACAAGCCGTCATTGACTTTTAGTGCTTCAAAAAATATGTACTTTACTGAAAAGTGAAAAATCAAAAGATATGTATCAAAAATCATTTATTATGTATACACTAAAAGTACATCCTTCCTAAAGAGTGATCAGTCACACGTAGGATGAAACTTGCGGTGGTAACAATTTAACTTGTATTTCTATACCAGAAGTAGATGATCGTATTTCCATTTTGTCAAAACTTTCAAAGCAAGCAAATAAAGTTTATATATTTTTTTTGTTATAGTAAGGATATATTCAACAATTAAATATTTATGAAAAAGTATGATTATCTGATAGGAAGATCTTAATAGTTGCTGAGTAAAAACAGTTTGACAATAAATTGTAAAAAAATGGAATTACGGCTGTTTACCTCTATAAACAATTTTTTTTAATTTGACAGTTAAAAGTAAATTTAATCCCTTAACCCTTTCACTGCAGTACCTTTTCAAATGACAGTTCCGCTGTGATGAAACGGGCAGGATGCGCGGGTACATAACTTCCCAAATAAAATATTTATATCACAGATGTGGCTACTTCCCACACTAGACAGGATAACTGTGTTCCAATGAAACAACACATTCTCTAATAACATTTTCGTTATAAAAATCATGTTTTAAAAAAATTGTACAAATAAATTTGCACACGATGTTTTTTTATTTTTTTTTAAGTTCAATAATTTCTGGTTTAGAATTACTTCATTTGAAAAATTTTAATAAACAGTAACTGTTATTATTTAAGTTGATATTCTAATAACCTCATATTTGTTCCTTTTACGCAGTTGTTAAACTGGTTACAAAATTTGATATAATTATATAATTTTTATACAAAAATTTGTCATTTAAGTCATGCCACATAATAAATTATGCACGTAACAAATTTTCTTTTTTTTTTTCGAAAATATAACTAAACCACATACAGAGTGTATGCAATAATTATGCTTGACATTGAATTTTTTTATTGATCTCTCATAAAATTTTATTCCCAATAAAAGTTTATGTAAATGAATATCAAATTTAGTATTCAATATACAGAGTCCACAGTTATTTTTTATTAGGCTCATATTCTAAGAATTCCATATTTGCAGTTTTGTCACACTATGTACATTGGTTACAAAATTTGATATTGATTCTTTATGCACAAACTTTGGAGGCATGGCATAAAATGTCTAAATGACAAATTTTTATATACAGGGTGTCCACAAATTTCATCGACAACGTTTGACTGCATATTCACGACGATAAATAAACACGATCTACAAAAAAAAAGTTAAAGAAGTTTTGGTTTTTGAATTATAAGCCTTCAAAGTTGTCAAAAATAAAACTAATTTAATTAATAACTTCATAACCCTTTTACCGATCGCATTATAATTTGCCATATTTATTTGGACTATTATTAAAGTTTTAGTCAAATCGATATACTGGGTAATAGCTTTTAGCGGTCAAAACTTTTACAGTGGTTGTATTTTTTTAAAACCGCCAGCAACATTGAAAAGGTCATTTTATTTTTCTCTTGAGAAAATTGCCTACAGAAAACCATTCTTGAGAAAAATAGCATTATTTGCAGGTCTGTGCATTTCGGTTTATGTAGCAGTAGACCTGCAAATAATGCTATTTTTCTCAAGAATGGCTTTCTGTACGCGATTTTCTCAAGAGGCAATATTTTCTTTAAATGAAACAGCCTTTTCAATGTAGCTGCCCGTATTAAAAAAATACGACCACTGCATAAGTTTTGACCGCAAAAAGAGAGAGGTAACTGGAGAAAACTATCACCTAGTATATCAATTTGACTAAAGCTTCAAGAAATAATATGCCATATTAGTCCAAACAAATGTGCCAAATTTTAACGTGATCGGTAAAAGGGTTATGAAGTTATTAATTAAATTAGTTTTATTTTTGACAACTTTGATGGCCTGTAATTCAAAAACCAAAAAGTTTTATTTAATTTTTTTCCATAGATCGTATTTATTTATCGCCGTGAAGATGCAGTCAAACATTGTTGGTGAAATTTGTGGACACCCTGTATAGAAATAAGAACAGTTCTCGCAACAAACCTTGACTCCCGGCCTGCCTAGATATCGGTTCATTTTGCTTATGAATCGGTTTCCCGCAATGAAAGGGTTCAAATAACAGTACACCCACAAAAATTAAAATATAAAACTAAAACAACACTTTAAATCCACGAATTGTCTAAATTTTTAAAGCTTAAACTATTGGCCTTCACAGTTGATTTCCGTAAGTAAAATTCTGTATAAAATGTATTAAAGAGTAAAATTAAGTCAATATAGTATTATAATTGAAATTACTCAAAATAATATTGATGCTCGAGAATGATGACATTTTTAGTGAAAGTTCGGATGTACTGGATGTAACTGAAACAAATTGTCAATGCAAGTATCTCACTTTTTTGGAATCATAGGATCGATTGTGTATTTTTCTTTGCAGTTGCGAGAAAAATAGTTTCCATGCACAAACTTTCACAAACTGTCACCTGAAACGATAATCGGAAATTAAATATTTTGTACCCAATTTTTGTGCACAAAAAGATAGGAAATCAAAAAGTGACGGAATATTTGTAAAATACTAAAGTAGTAAAAAAATTAAAACGACCTTATTCCACCATCCGTTTATTTGGGTATAATTAATTGTAAAAGCTGGTTGATAGTAAAAATCAACAGTATCGATAATTAATTTTTTTTTGTTTCTGCTTTGATTTATTTACTAAATGAGAATTAAGGCATGGTATAAATATATGGAAATAATGTGTGTATACATATATATATATATATATATAGAAAATATTATTAAAAAATATAAATATAGCTACAAAATCTGGAAGAGTTTTTTTAATTCAACCATAAGTTGCCAATCAGTTTTCAGAAGGTCATCTCTGAAGTAATCCTTGCATGCATCTATAGATTGACGTGATATCTGCAAAAAAAACAATAATTGATTCTTCTGCGTTTTTTTTTAATTTTTCCTAAAAATGTTCATATCATAGGTATTTATTATTTAGTAACCGCGGATTTTTAATTTATGTAATCAGTTTTAGCGATTTTCTTGCAATTTTTCTGTAAGCAAAACTTAAGAAACTTATAGTCCACTTTTATAAAATAGGAGAAAATGAATGAAATAAAAGAAATAAGGACATAGATTTTTTTTGTTGAAATATATTTACCTTACTAACAAGAAAATCAGTTTCATCAAAATGTCTCCCGAACATCTTAGGAGATTCTCCAGGCACTGGTTCAATTTTTATGCAGATTTCCATTCCTTTTCTGGCACTTTCGACAGGTTTATGATTATTTTCTATACTAGTTACCACTCCCAAATCAACAAACTGAAAAAATATATCTTTATTTGCATTTAATATATATTTTTGTAGAAATTTCTATATACGCAATATCACTTTTTACGATAACCTCAAAATTTCCGAGAAAAATGTGAAAAACAGGTTTTTTCTTATTTCTCGTTTTTTATTTCTGATTTCCGCAAAAATAATTTAATTTTGACGAAACTTGGTAAAAGTATACCTTTCTGTTTTCAATAACCGCAAATTTTTTTAGATAAAAAAAATCAAGAAGTTTACGAGATATTAATTTTTTCCAGTATGAAACACTTTTTTTTCAAAGAAAAATTCTACTTAGAAAAATCATCGTACAGAGTTCTTTTTTTCGTTTTGACATTAAAAATGACTAGATTTGGTCATAAAACAAGCAGTGACATATTTTAAAAAATGTACCTGATGATGGCCCCTCGAAGATGAAACGTCGGATTGCAAAAATGTTGAAGCCATTGTATAGAGTGAAAAAAGTGACATTGTAAATATGCAATTTATAATTTATAATTTATTTATTTTTAAAATTAGTTTTCAAATAAAGCCAGAAAGAAAATTAAACAATTTTGCAAAATTACGGGATTTTCCGGATGCCTCCGGAACTACCTGGAATTTTAAAACTTTCTAAAAAAAATAAATATACTAATCCTACAGAAAAAAATATTATTTATTTTATTTATTCACTATTCAACATAATATGTTTATAGCAATTCTGTACAAAAATAAAGTTTTGGGTCAAACAATGACAGTTTTTTTTTTGTATTTTTTCCGTACAATTGAATGGTGTAAGTAGTTTTTGAATTTTTTATAATTTAAACAAATTATCAACAATTACTGAAAAATTAATTTTTGCGTCATTTTTTATTTTTTTTTGCATTTTTGAGCATTTTTTTGAACTGTGATTTTTTTATTTCACCAAAAAGTATGTCAAAACGAAAAAATTATCACCGGCAGAACTCTGTACGATGATTTTCCTAAGTAGAATTTTTCCTTGAAAATCTTGTTTATATCAAAAAAAAAAATGTACAGTTATTTAAGACACTGAGCTTGAACAGAATACGGCTCAGGAGAGTGACAGGGCTCATAACGGGACACTGTCGCTTTAGGAAACATCTACATAAGCTAAAGCTTGTAGACAGTTCGGTCTGCCGAGGATGTGAATCGGCGGATGAAACTTCTCTGCATATCCTGGGCGAGTGCCCGAGATTTGCACATAGCAGAATGGCGCTCCTTGGGAGACCCTACTTAGAACCCAAGGAACTGAGAGAAGTGTCAGCAAGGAAGCTTTTGGACTTTGTAAAAAGGACAAATGTACTTGCTGAATAGGGCTAGTAGTGGGACGCACAATAGGCCTAATCAGGCCGCAGTGCTATGGGACTTATTAGGACCAACCACTAGAAGTAGAAGTAGAAGAAGACACAGAAAGGTATACTTTCACCAAGTTTCGTCAAAATTAAGTTATTTTTGCAGAAATGAGAAATAAAAAATGAAAAATCAGAAAAAAAACCGTTTTTCGCATTTTTCTCGGAAATTTTGAGGTTATCGTAAAAAGTGACCTCTACAAAAGTTGTAGATTTTTGCATGATCTACAACTTTTGCATTGGATACTTTTTTATTTGACATCAACTTTCGCCAGAAATCCCAATGATACAATTTTTCACAACTTTTCAACCCCCCAAAATCAACCCTCCACCACCCCTGCTCACGCATTAATTTTTTTTAGGTTTCTTATAAGCCCTTTTACCATTTCCACTTAAAAAAGTCCAGGTAACAAATTTTTTTCTCCAAGTGTAATTTGGTTAGACTAAATTATAACAATTTTCATTCTATTCACTCCAAATTTTGACAATATTTTTAAAATAACGTAAGGATTTTCGATAAATGATTGCCCTTAAAAACTAAAGTTTTTGACGACTTTGATGTCCTCTAGCGGTTAAACGAAGCAACTGTAGATAGAAATATATTTAGTTAAAACGTCTTAATTTTAGCATTTTTAGCCCATAGAAATAATGTAGATGAAATATCTAGACACCCTATATATTACTATGAAAACAAGTTACAATATCTTTAATTTATTTCCGAAGATATTTTAATAGTATTACCTTTAAGGAAAATGTTTTTTATATTTCATTAAAAATCCACTAAAAAAACAATGTATATGATTTTTCATATTGCTAATAATAACTATTATTTGAATAATTTTCATTTCATTAAAAAAAAACAGTACCTTTATATTTTACATACACAGTTTGAAATCAGTAGTAAAAATATTTATGTACCTCTTTACTTGGAACACAAATAGGCGTGCCTTCTTTGATAATCCCAGCCTCTACCATTACACCACACACTATAGGGTCACGTGAATTAAAAACAAATTGTGGTAGTATTTTAAGTTTACACGGAAATACGGCAATATGTTTGAACTCCTCTCTTTTCTTCTGTTTTAATTCTTCCCTGTAGGCCATAAATTTATCAAACAGATGGTAAATTATATCAGCCTGAAATATTTTGACGCCTAAACTGTCTGCAAGTTCTTGAGCATCACGTTCCACCTTTACGTCAAACGCCAATATCGTGGCATACCTAAAATAATGTTGCTGTTAAATGAAAACTTGTATCACAATATTTTATTTGAATAATTATTTATTTTATCATTATGTTGTAAATGAGGCTCTTTCCTCTATTATGTAAGGAATGAACATCAGGGCCAGCCTAGAAGCTCTGATAATGGTTGGCCCCCACAGAACCTATCCCGAGAACAACAAGGGCAAGTCAAAGATTCCTAGCTAAGGAAGTACTATATAAGTCTGATAAGTAGGTGGTAACCAGGTGCATAAGTATAGCAACACATATTATGGTTACCTTTACCTTTAAAATAGTGTAAAAAATTATAACGAGCGTTCAAATAAAAACGTGGTCAAGTTGGTTCTGAAAATTTGGACGTAGGGTGTTGCGTATAGCAAATGAACTTAAACGTCATCTGTCAAAGCGCTATATCGCCGCTATCAATTTGAATATTTTCGTTTTAAAAAGCTTTTAAAATGGTGTTTTCTCAAGAACAAAAAGTGTTTATCATAGAGTCCTACTTTAGAAATGGACGCAAGATTGATGGAATATGGAAGTATTCTATTGAGGAATGTTTCATAGAATTTCAAAATCAATTTCCCGGCGTTGTTGAGTACAAAATTTTTCAAAGTGCAGTTCAGCGTTGTGTTAATGTTTTTCGTGAAACGGGCAGTGTAACAAGAAAAGAAGGAAGCGGCCGACCTAAAAAGCGGACTGAAGAATTAAAAGAAAATGTCCAACAAATAATGGAAAATGCGCCAAGAACTTCTGTACGTGTTTTATCACAAATGGTGGGAGTATCAGTCGGTACCTGCCACACAGTGTTAAAAAAAGATTTGCGTTTGTTCTCCTATCGTTTAACTTGTCAGCAAGAACTTCATGAAGTTGATTTTCCGCGACGGGCTGTATTTTGTGAATGGTTTTTAAACAACTACGGTGAACTTCATAATATCACCTTTTTTTCTGATGAAGCCTGGTTTCATTTAAGTGGTTACGTAAACTCACAGAATATGAGAATGTGGTCTTCTGAAAAACCAGATAACTTTTTTGTCGAGGGCCCTCTACACGCTCAAAAAATTGGAGTTTGGTGTGCTCTCAATCGAAGGAGGATTTATGGACCTATTTTTTTTAATGGTACTCTTACTGCGCAAAGGTATAGAGAAGAAATTATCGCTCCTTTTGTTAACCAGCTGGAAGAAAACGAAATTACAAACTTTTACTTTCAACAAGATGGCGCAAGGGCACATACGGCAGGCGAGACGATGAATATGTTGAGGGAAGTTTTCCAAAATCGACTAATAAGTCTCAATGCTGAACATGAATTTCCACCGAGGTCATGTGATATTACGCCGTGTGATTTCTTTTTGTGGCCTTACCTTAAAAACACTATTTTTGAACTGCCTATTCCTGATTTAAACCATCTGCAGGCTCGACTTATAGACAAGATTCGTGAAATTAACAATACCCCGAGCATCTTAGAAAATGTCTTTAATTCTTTGAGGAACAGGTGTGAAAAGTGCTTGGAACAAGGAGGGGGACACTTTCAGCAGCTGCTTTAATTTATTGTTATAACAAGGAGGGGGACACTTTCCGCAGCTCCTTTAATTGTTTGTTATTGTTATCACGATTATTCTTTAAAATAAAGTTATATAGTCATTAACGTTATTGAAACTGACAGCTGCTATACAGCTCGTTGAGAAATGAGGTTAAGTTGGTTGCTATAAGCTACTCCCTACGTCCAATGTGTCAGAGCCAACTTCGACCACGTTTTTATTTGAACGCTCGTTATAATACTGCAAAACCGCATTCATACAGAGCTATATCTTGACAGATGTTAACCTTTGAATAGTGATAAGTTCGTCAAAATTGTAAATAAATAATTTAGTGCAAATTTGGTGTAAAAGTGAAGTTTATTTACACTAGAATTCGCCTGTCGCTCACTACAACGAATTTATATCAGAAACTATCGTTGTAGCACTAGATAAATCTTTTTTACAGTAGCATTTTAAAAACCATCCATTCTCTCTACCAACAAAAAAAAATTGTGGGGGGGGGGAACAAAAGACTAAAAAAAATAATAATAACATAAATTACTTACTGACTTTCATGTTCCAACATAATAGATGCTTTCATTACATCCTTTTTAACAACTGGACCGATCCTAATCCCACAATACTAAAACAAGAGAAAGAATTTGAAATTACCAACACCAAAATGATTTAATTTTCTTAAATTTGATTATAATTTATTACTTACGGGTATTTTACTAGTACGTAAGAACTCCAAAAGTGCCTCTAAGGATCCCAAAGTCGAGGCCTGAACGTATACCCCTCTTTCTGCCAATTTTATATTAGAAAGTGCCGATCGCAATTCCCTTGCTACCTCTTCTTTTAGGATTTCAACCTCATCAGGTTTTTGAGCTATATATAAATTTAGACCCGCTATTGCCTTCTCCAGCTCTTTTGCCGCTATTTTTACACCTTGAGCTGCTTTGATTTCCTTATATTCTACATATGCATTCTAGCAAAAAAAATAAATTTTTAAAAGAAAGAAAACGTTTATAGCAAATAAAAATTATATAAAGTTTTAAATTCGATAATATAATTCGGTGGAAATTTTACACGCTGACGTCTATGACAAAAATATGAAAATATTTCCAGAAACGTCTTAAAAGTGCTTAACCCACATTATAATGAAATCGGAAATCTATATTTATTTTGCAGATAGTCATTAAATATTGGGCGTTTAATTACAAGCCTTATTTAATTTTTTATAAGCTATTTACTCACCTTAACTCTAAGCTCCCTAAGGGGTTGTGGCATAAGTAATGACCTAATTTGTGTGACGATAGGGCCGTCAGTGCCGGCACATAGCATAGTATCGCCCTCTCTAAGCGTCCCATTAACCAATATTACGTCTATGGTCGTCCCAAGACCAGAAATAGCTTTTACTTCCAGTACAGTAGCTTGAAGCTCGTCCGAGTACATAAGCCGGGGTCCCAGTTTCGTCTGACAAAATTCAACTATTAAAGCCAAAAGATTCCCCATACCTTCTCCAGTGATGGCACTAGTTGGCACAAGGGAAACATAGCTCCGAATGTCAGGATTTTCATGGAACAAGGCAGCATTTAAACCTAAGGAGTAACTCTATTTATTATCAAGGAACTTGGGAAATAAATTAGAAATCTACGTTTTGTTTAAGCACTAGGCGCTCGATTAATTTTACTTGGAGATAGATTTCGTGCATATCGAGAGTATGTCCCATTGAACGAAGACGCAACAGTTTGTTACTGTTCATTGTAAATGAATCATTAACGTTAGATTTAGGGATTTTCAATTGACAGCACCAGAACAGTATCTCACGACAGGTGATGTGAAATTTGCTTTTTAATAATCTTTTCTTTAAATTATGAGATTTGGAAACGATGCACAGCTCAGTTGTCAATTGTGCATGCGCTGCGATTAACATATGCTGTTGTTTGAGATCACACGAACTTGTCCCAAGACGGGATAGGAAAATTATTAAAAAAGGTTTAAAAACAAAATTTAGTTTTTACGATGGAATTTGAAAAAATAAACTATTGATACGTGTTTCTAACAATCAAAGGTAGCCTCTGTGTAAATATGACCCCCACTTAAAGTTACACCCTGTATAAAAAGTAATTTTAATGATTATTTTTTAGATGAGTCAAAAAGATATTTAAAAAATTACTGACCTTGTTCTGCAAATTGCACGATAACTTCTTTAGTCCTTTGCTCAAATTCCAGTTGAGTATTTTGCGCCTGACTCTTGAGAATATCTCTGACGTCCTTTCTACTAATTGTTTGCCAATCGTAAAGTCTGTCAATTTTGTTGAGAGCAACTATGAAAGGTGTCTTTTTACTCTTCAACAAGTTTATCGACTCGATGGTTTGAGGTTCCAATCCGTGCATAATATCAACAACTAGAATCGCTATATCACATAAAGATGAACCGCGATTTCTCAAATTGCTAAAAGACTCGTGACCAGGCGTATCTATGATGAGCAATCCGGGAATTTTCAGTTCCAGTTCGTTCACCTTAAAAATATTTACAGGATGTTACAAAAAATAGGTCTAGATCTACGTTGATTACAAAACTTTTCAATTTATTGTAGAATAATTTGTGCCTCATTCCGTACCTGAACAGTACAGATAAATGAGGTTTTATGAATTTGTATATAAAAAAAATACGTACCTCCTTTACAATCTTAATTTGCTCTTTAATAGCATCAATAGGTACATTCGTTGCTCCTATTTGTTGAGTGATTCCACCAGCTTCGCCGTCTTGAACATTAGTTCTCCTTAATTTATCTAATATTTTAGTTTTCCCAGTGTCTACATGACCCAATACGCATACAATTGCAGCTCTAAGATTATCGGTGGTTCTATTCTTTACAGCTTCTTCTTTCCTTGCCTGTAAATTAAATATTTTATCCAGAAATAAATAAGAAATCATTCCAAATACTGTGCTGTAAAATTGTAATAATTAAAAAGCGTACCTTTATTCTTTGTAATGCTTTGTCTCGGGCTTTCTCCACTAAGGATTTGGCGTCGGTTTCATCTTCCGATTCTGAATCACTTTCTTCTTCTTCAGATTCTTCCTCGGAACTACTCTCATCTTCTTCTTCCTCTTTTAGTAGAGAGGTTTTCTGTCGTCCGCTTGCATCAGTTTTAGATTCTGAAAAAAAAATAAATTGTAAGGACCGTCTGAAACATACCAAACTTTCATGAAATTTGTTTATTTGTTATGATCAATTAGCCTTAACAGGAAACACAAAGCCTGGTTCTTAATTGAAAAAAATATACGTAAACAAATATTCCTTTTAAAAGGTGCTCACCTGATGCAGGCTTGGTTTCTTCAGAATCCTCATCTTCAGAAGAAGCGTCCCAGGCATCTTTAACATCATCTCCCGATTCTTCATCTTTTTCTTGGCTTTGTTCCGTAATTTCAACTTTAACAGGAACAGTATCTTCTGGTTTCTGTTCTTCCTGTTTATTAGTACTTATATTATCTGTAGTAGCTGAGAAAGTATAACATAAATTAATTATTTGGAAAATTATTATATCAAACAGTTTCATAATAGTGTAATAGTTTTAACCTAATACGAATTAATTCATACATGTATTTTTATGTTGATACATAAATTAAAAACAGTTTTTACCAGCTTAAAAACTACTTTTTTCAAAAAAATTCTAATTTATTTTAATTATACATTATTAACATAACTCCTACTCTATTTTAAAAGGTACTAAGCTAATTCAAATTAAGTAAAAGAAAATTTCTAAAATTCTCGACACAAACATTTAACGAAATCTTTACTAATTATTATTTTTGGCTACAAAGACATTATCCACTATAACTGTTTCTTGTCTTATAAAAATTAGAAATTAAAATATAAAAAAAATCTAATTTTAAATTAGAACAGAAGCATTTATTTCCCCAATCAGACTGAAATTTGAAAGAGCATATTTTAATTTTAAGTAACCACGATTAATTGTTTTATTTTTTGTTCACAACTGAGTTCTTGCTAAAGTTAAACAAAAATTGCATCACAGATCTTACAGACTAAATATTGTAGAGCTCATCATTTCATATTATTCAAACCTTCCCATTATTCCTGTGACTACACTGACATAAGTTTCAGAAAAAAATTACCATTTTTCAAAATTTTATGTAAAATTTAAATACTACTTGCCTTCATTCTGTTCCTTTTTCTGCCTGCTTGGCTTCACCCTGGTACCAGGTCTAGGTTTTCTTTCGCCCACATCTGGCAACTCAACACCCTGTGCTTTCAAACTATCTATTAGAGCCTGGGCTCTTGCTCTATCAGCCTTTTGTTTTGCAGTGAGCAATTTTCCTTCTGCTTTAAGTCTTTCTTTTCTTTCCTTTTCCTTTTGCTTCTTTCTTTCTTTGCGCTCCTGCTCTAACCTAAGTGCTTCCAATCTTGCTTTCTCAGCTTCTTCTTCTTTCTTGATCTGTTCTTCTTCTTGACGCTTGAGGCGTTCTTCTTCTTCTTTTAATTTTCTAAGTGCTTCTTGCATCGCCGCAATTGTTTTCTTTCCAGGACCTACCAATAAATACAATAATAAATAACTAAAAAGATTCTTAAAATATATGTATAACAATTTTAAATTTCTGGTTAAAATACAAAAGGAAAATTAATACCTTTCTTGGTTTCTTTCGCTTCTTTGTCTTCTTCATCTTTAGCACCTTTCTTTTTCTTTTTACTCTTTTTGTCTCCCTCAGGGAGCACCTTGTCTTCTTCAATTTTCTCCTTTTCATTTTTTTCTTCTGTAGATACTTCATCCAGGCTACTCTGCTTTTTGACGTCATCTTGGCTCTTTGAAGTTAACTTCTTTTGCTTATCTCTATCTTTTTTTTCTTTTTTCTTTTGCGCTGCAGTCTTCACTGTTCCAGAATTTTCCGTTTTAGATTCTTCTTCTACTTCTGGCAGTTTTTCAAGAGATTCCTTCTCTAATTTTTTATTCTTACTTTTTTTTCCTTTTTCTTCATCTACCTGAACTGCTGCAGGAGCGGTAATTTCTGAAATCGGCACACCCTCTTTCTTAACACCTGAATATTCCATTTCTAATTCGGCTAATACTTTTTCTATATCTTCATCACTCTCATCTCGTTTCCTTCGATTTTTTTTACCTTTTTTACCACCTTGATCTTTAGTCCTATTTTCCTCACTATTAGATTTCTTTTTAGTGTCTTTTTTTAATGATTTAGATTCACTCTCACTATTATCTTCAAGCATTTTGTCATTCTCAGAACCACTATCTTCAACTTGTAATAAGGAAAACGACTTTTTAACATTTGTTACACCTACATCATTATCACTTTCATCAGTCGCAGCAGGCTTTTTCTCTTTCTTCCCCTTCGGCTTTTTACTTTCATCCTTTTGTTCTTCTGATTCAACATCGGCTGGTTTAGTTCTTAAAACACAATATAAATAAATTTACTTATTTATTATAAAATTTTGACAAGATTATTTATACCAAATGCAAAAAGAATTCGAACACCAGGTTATAGCAATAATATCGCATTGAAAATCTAACTACATATTCAAATGGAGCAAAAATGTCCTTAAAAATGCAATTTGTATTTCCGTGTAGCTATTCAAATAAACCCAAGAAATGCTAAAATAAAAAATTGTGATAAAATCTAAACTAGCAAATTCAGGATACATTGCCACTAACCATCCCAGAATCTCGACACTACTAAGTATTTAGCAAATTTGATCAGTGCATTCCCAATTGTATTTTAAAAAAAAAATTATTACACAAATCGTAGTTTAGTAACTATATGATTTAAACACGTCCTAAAAGAATTTTTGTATAAGGACTAAGAATGTGGCCAAAAACATGGCCAATACCTTTAATACACCATCATTTAAATTTAATAAAACCATAAATAACAATTGTCATTTTAATATTTTTAATTTTGTTATAATTCCTCATTTATAAAAAGTTTAAATAGTAATTAAAAAAAGAAGACAACACGTCTATATTTTTATAGCGAGAACTGGCAAATCTATAGGCAAAACAAATTAACTGATGATTGTTCATGTGAGTTATGCGAACGTTATGGTAGTAATTTGTATATCATATTGTTTTGATATTGCAATTTACGTTGTATATTTTAATTACAAAAAATGTCGTGTTTCTGTAACTCTTGCAGATATTTTAACGTCCATCATATCTTCAGTTGAAGAGAAAACTGTAGTCACGCATACAATATTATGTCATGTAAATAATTATTAAAAATTATTAAACGATGTCTAATATTAGTTCAGTTCAGTTCAGACATTTTCGCAAATTCATGAGAGAGTATCTTATTTTCTCTCTATAGTTTCACATTTATACAAAGAAATAAGTACAACTTTCACCTTATTATCGTATTGTTTATATTTAATGCATTATTAAGTATTAATTAATATACATTTTTAAATATAATATCTTCAAGTAACACCAAGCTATAATCATGAATGCAGTGGAAGCCATAAAGTTTTCAGCGCAATGGCTATCCAGTGGTCACTACATTTGTGAAATGTAGAGATAAAGAGAGATACAAGAGAGAAAATAGAAAAAAAAGAGGTAATGCAGAACAATTTCAAATATGAATTTGATAAATATATAAATCATATGAGCAGTTTATTTGGACAAAAGGCAAGTGTGCTAATATCATTGGCAAATAGACCAATAATTAAGAGTTTATTCTACTTGGTTAGTTGAAATACACCAATAATTGTGTAGTTACTGAATACACGTTTTAATCGTATTTATAACACAGAAAAATTAAAGATTCTTCTATAAAACAGGCGAAGGGAATTCAGGGGAAGCCACAGAAAATCATAGTCAAATCAGTAGAAGGAATTCACATAGAAATTGGCAGAAATCCTTAAAGCTAAACCTGAATATTTTAGATATTTTTGCTCTAGTCTAGATTAGACTATAGACATTTTATTACAGAAAACTTCTTATTTGTGCAACTCGTCTCTGCTTCTCTATTACTAAATAAAAGAATGGAGGATTTAGTTGAGCTTCCTATTAACAGAAGGCACAATTAAAGCATGGTGCAGCAAGTCACAACTGTCTGTCAATTTCGATTCACATTTACATGTTTTTTAAATTGCCTTTTAAATAACGATATCTTGCAAGAATAAGAAATACGGGTAAAATCCACATTATTTTACGACAATATCTGAAAAGGTAGCCAACACCCCACTTATAAAACGACAACTGTTTATTTTTTCATACCAAACCTTGCTAAAAATATAACATACTAAAATTTACTCATTTCACCACTAATCATTAGTAGCTACTCCAGACATTTTCTTTTTGACATGTTAATAAAATTTGTCTACTAGAATTTTTTGTATCATCTATGGCATAATTTTTCTCTCTTGATTCGATTACTAATTTCCCTGGCATGTTGGTAAGTTTGTTAAAGAAGCCTTATATATACTTTCTGGCGGTTAGCCAAATGTTTCTGATATAACCTATTTTTTTGAATTTTTGTCATACTTACTTGAGCGATTTAGATTTTTTATTTGATTTTTCTATTAACTGTTCAGTATTCAACTCATTTTCGGATTCACTAGAAAATAATTAGAATTAGCTTCGTAAATTATTTTCTTTCCATATTTACCTTTCATCGCCTTTCCCTTTTCGTATTTTTCTTGACTTTCCCATCTTGTATTTAGAAAATTACAGTAAATATTTGTAGATATTAGTTTAAAATATATCATTAACTTCTTTACTTTTCACAATCTGTTATTAAAAGACAGGCACCCTACACACATTTCACATCATTGGATATGTCATCTGGCAATTCTTTATTTTTGACCCATAGAGTTATTATAACCCTGTTCGTTAGAAGCTAAACCTAGTGGCTTCAAGAGATCTTGGATCATGAAGAGTACTGAGCAGTGACGCCACCAGATCCTTTTGGATCACAAAGTAGAGCAATCAGATCTTGGAGTAATTTGCCTGTGTTCGTTAAGACGACTTGAACATAATCTATCATAGAAAATTTTCTATGATAACCTATGCTTTGATTTGTTGTATACGTGTGTGTTTTAAGTTTACTTTATCTAGGGTATATAGCAGTTTTTCTTCTGTCTAGGTATACAAAAAGTAAATTTGTTATCCACCATGAAAGAAAACTTATTAGGTTTATTAGCGGAATTATTAGTGGAAGAAGGAGAAAGTGGATTGGAAAATGTATCAACATGTTTAGACGAAGACTGTGAATATGTCATAAAGATTTTGTATTAAGTAATCGACAGGGTATTCCCATATTTACCGGCATACGTCAGATATATCAACCAATAAAAATAAAATCAGCTGCTTGCTCTGGTTACTCTACTCCCTTTGCTCCAGCACAAATGACAGAGTAACCAGAGCAATGATCTTATTGATCAGAGTGAAATACTCCTGCATAAGAACATAGATTTTGTGCTCGGCTTCAAACGAACGCCGATGAAATACTCCAATTAAGTTGGTGTACGTCAAACAAAACTGCGTAGAGCGGGGAAATTTCTTATTTTGTATTTCAAACTTTACAGCAATGTACGAAAAGAGCTGTAGGTATAAAATGATTAAGTAACTTATCTACTACAAAAAAAGATAGTATGTATTAATAAGATTAGATTACTATCGTGGTTATATTATTATCTGTATTTTAATAATTCGGAGACAGATTTTATGAAAACATCTACCATTCACACGAATACACAGATTTAAACGACGAAAATTAAATTGTAATAACATCATCAGCGTGCCTTACGACGCGTTGCTGTACCAGGACACAGACTTGTTAAAGAAGAGAGAGTGAGCAGCCCCTGGTTCCTGGTTCTGTGGTTGTGCTGACAGCTTGGGCCACAGACAGGCATATAGGTGTTGTATAAATTATTACTTATATGTTAGTTAAGATTATGTTATGCATATAGTTTTAAGAAATTGTAAAAATTGATAGTTTAGTTCAAAATGACTATAATTGTGTTCCTAATAGATACTTCGGCGTCTATGTTACAAAGGTAAAATATATTTTTGCTTCTATGAAACGTTTCAATAAAAAGGTTATCTTTTAATGTATTTTTGTAGAACTTACATAGGTGGTCGAACTACACTATTAGACGTCGCCAAGTCTGCAGTAGAAACTTTTGTTAAAATTAGGCAAAGAAGTATAGATAGTCGAATTGATAGATACATGTTGTTAACATTCGAAGAATCACCTAATAATATCAAAGCAGGTTATATTTTCTGAATAACGGTGATTAATTTTGTTCAAAACTATTTACTATATTTTAGGATGGAAAGAAAATTTAGCCACATTTATGAATGAATTAAAAAATTTACAGGCCTATTCATTAACAACAATGGGTGTAGCTGTAAAACAAGCTTTTGATATTTTAAATATCAACAGAATGACTTCTGGAATTGATACCTATGGGCAAGGAAGGTGTCCTTTTTTCTTAGAGACAGCTGTTATTGTATTAATAACTGACGGTGGTAAACTGACTACAGGTAATATCTTAAACATGTATTTAATTATTTGATGTGGAGGTGAAACATATTTTTTATAGTTGGAGGTGTACAAGAAGAATTTAATTTACCTATGAATTCTCCTATACCTGGCTCTGAAATGACTCGGGAACCATTTCGATGGGATCAAAGATTATTTGCTTTAGTTTTAAGGCTAACAGGTTGTTAAGAAATAAATATAAATAATAGTTTATATTTTCAATTGTGCTTAATAAGATATTCTAATCTTATATTTACAGGTACACCAGCTGTTGAAAGGGACACAGGCTTAGTTCCTAGTGATAGTAGTCCTATAGATGCAATGTGTGAAGTAACCGGTGGTCGTTCTTATTGTATTACTTCACATCGGATGTTAAATCAGTGCATTGATAGTTTAGTTCAAAAGGTAAGTTAATTACTGGATCCTACTGCAATTTATGAAATAAGGCCTTGTTAGTTTTTCATTATTTGCCTAGGAAGTCATTTAACAAGTTACATAAATAGAAACAATTTAAACTTCAGATATAATTGACAGATTTAATTTAGGTGCAAAATGGTGTTGTGATTAATTTTGAAAAAATTGGTCCTGATCCTCCTCCTCCTCAGTTCGAAAAAGAAGATGGCAAAGAAGAGGTATTGAAAGAAGGGGAATATAATGAAAGCAATGAGAGAATTGGAATTCTAAATGTTCCGATAAATACTTCTTGGTACAATTGTCGAAAAATGATTTATGTACCTAAAACAAATAAAGCATATTGTGTCGGTATGTATATATCTACATATGAGGCTAATTAAGTCTAAACATGTTTCATTTAGGTTACTGGCCTATTCCGGAGTCATTTTGGCCTGAAGTAACAATTTCAGTTTTACCGCCTCGATCTGCACATCCAAATATAAAATTTGCTTGTTCAAATTCTGAGCCGCTAGTTATTGAAAATTTACCTTTTGATAAGTACGAGCTAGAACCGTCTCCACTAACGCAATACATTTTGTCCAGAAAGCAACCTAAAACTTGTTGGCAAGTAAGTGTAAGATTCTAATTTGAATTTTCAAATATAGTTTACATAATTAAAGCTTTTAGGTATTCGTTGCAAATAGTTATAAAAATTCTGAAGTGGGACACCCATTCGGTTATCTGAAAGCCAGTACGAATTTAACCTGCGTCAATCTATTTGTCATGCCTTATAATTATCCAGTTCTTCTTCCTTTATTAGACGAACTTTTTAAGGTAAGCATTAAGATCAAATTGTTTATTAATCAATCTAAAAATGGGAAAAAATCATTTTTATCATTTCGTCAGTCTGAAATTTCAGTAAAAATTCATGAAAACAAATTTAGATTCACAGATGGAAACCAACTAATGAATGGCGAGCCCAATTTCAAAATTATATTAGGACGTTACCAGCTTACTATGCGGTACCATTGAGGAGAGCTTTAACCAAAATGGGTTTGTTATTATAACAGTTTTATTGAACGAAGAAGTTACTATCGTAATTTTAGGTACACCTGTGGCTTTGGCTCAAACTTTGATACCTGAAAACTCTGAAAATGGCCTAAGTTATTCTGTTTCAAATTATTTGAAGAGATTAAAAAATCAGGCAAAAGTAGAATATGATAAAATGTGTAGTGAAATTATACAGAGACAAACAAATGTGAGTTTTAGCTTCTCCCGTTCAGTATATTTATTAAAGATGGAAATCAATCAGTTTCTAAAATTATTTTTATCCCTTTTTTTATTAGATGAATGGTTTAAAAATAAATTTCAACAACCCTGAGCAAATTAGAGTAATTCCAAAAGTGACCTTAAATAAAGATTTGATAAGTCACCCGCTGTTAGTCGATAAATTTGCTTCCCATAGGGATCAAATTTTAGAGCAAGGTAATAGTTGGACATGTACGCTAGACAAGGAACGACAAAATGTAAGCTTTAAAAATCCGTTTGACATACCCAGGCATAAACTAATTCATCAAGTAAGTATAAAAATATGTACTATAAAATTTACATCTCTTGAGACAGGTTTTTCAGTCCTTGGTTAACGTTTGATTTTAAATTAACCATTATATATATTTTTTTTTAATTTAGCATAAGTATGAATGTGTTTGTGTTGCAAATCTGCTTTGATCTCTTCAATAGAATCAAAACAAGCCTCATTTTGTTGAAGAGGATAAAGTTGCAAAAGGCAAGATCTGGCAAATAAAGAGTATCCCACAGTGATTATTTTAAAACTCTCATTACGAGCCAAGTCTGCGCAAGTGCATTGTCATGGTGCAACATTCATTCGTTTATCCAAATCTCAGGTCCCACACCTCAAATTTTCTCTGAATCCTTTTTAAATCACATTCAAAAACTTCTCGTTGACAATCGTACCGAGTGGAATAAACTATTTGTGCATTATTTAGGTATCAAAAGAAAACTATCAAAAACATGTTGTTGATAACACCTTCTCATAGTGCTACAGTTTTTAAACAAAGAACAACATGTTTACTGTTTCTCACCCCCATAGACATTTCTCCCTGCAACTTCTTTCTCTTCTCCAATATGAAAATTCAATGAAAAAGGTGTCATTTTGGCTTATTTGGCTTGAAGAGATGAAAGCACAATAACATATAAACACCAGGAGATTTTCTATGGTGCTTACAATCATTGAAAAATTACTGTCTACATTTCATAAAAGCTCAAACTGATGCTGAAAGTTCAGACTTGTAATCAATAATTTTTTTATATTCAAATTCTTGGAACTATTATGTAGAACCACATATATTTTGGTTTGTTTAATTTTTATTAATGGTAATTGAATTGTACAATGGAAAAAGTACAAGTTGCATAATTCAGTTTTGTTTTACTTTTCTTATCCAACCTCTAGGTTATTACAATGAGGAATAATTTCTTACAACCAGACTGCACAACATTAGACCAAGATAGTGCCCATTCACTGCCAATATCTCAGATGGGCAATTACCAGGAGTACCTCAAGAAACAAACTCCGCAACTGCGGGAGATCGAATCAACGCCAGTACGACAGCACATGTTTGGAAATCCATTCAAAATTGACAAGAGGATGATGGTAGGAATAATAATTTTTTTGTTTCATATTTAAAATTTTTATCAATATTCGGGAATGCTAAAAAATTTCTATAAGATTAAAGAGTTAAAATAATGGAAATGAAAGGTGGTTTATTTAGTCACCTGAACGAAGAAAATCTTAAATAATGGTATAAATTTGTATTAATAACTGTACTATTTAGGTCGATGAAGCCGATATAGATTTGGTAGGGTCTCCAACTGGGACAAACAGAAACAATAAAAGACCAAATCCCAGTGATAATTTATCGCGCCTGCCCACTAAAAAGAAACCTGGTCCTCTTCCAAAGACATTCAGGTATACTAGGCCTAGCACCGATTCAACACCTCTTCAAAGTCCTACATCTTCACCGCTTCCGTCCCCTGTACCATGGTAAGTAAATTTAATCGATATTCTGTACCCATTAAAACTTTCATTGCGACTGCAAAGTGAATAACCGTAAGTGACCAGTCCCAATCAAGAATAATATTCGAATATTTTAAACGACCGATTTTTCCCTACATTTCAATAAATCCGTTAAAATTAATATTCATGGTTGTCGATAATAATTTTTTTTTGCAGTTCCCGCAATGAAAGGTTTAACAAATAATAATAATGATACAATTTCAGGTTAAATGCCATTGAGAAAGAACTGCCAAGGTTTGATGAACCTCCCAACTTAATTGTTAATGGTTTAGAAAGCCCTTCTGCGAGTCCTTTAAGTGAAAGGTCGAGATCTCCTTCACCAACACAACAGTTTCAAGAAGTGCCATCGTACGGTATCAGTGACGTCATCTATAATGTTCGGGCTAATGCAAACAGTTTTACCTACAGTATGTTGAACACCATAGAACCTAACTCATTAAATGACTTTTATCCGAGTCTTTCCGCACCCGACGATAAACAAATATCTCAGATACTTAAAGAAGCGAACATAAATCATAATAGTGTTTCGGTAAATAATCGTAATATAGAAGAGGGGGTAGTTAAGGTAAGTGTGAAACTATTTCTACTGTATTTCTTAATGATTCACGATGTTCCAATATTTCATGTACAAGGACCAGCCGTAGATTGTTGAAGTCAAATTAAAACGATTTAACTTTTAACTCTATCCAAGGTTGCTCTGTTCACTCATTAGAGAGTGTCAAATTTAGCAAACCATTTGGCTAAATAAGTGTAACTTTCAATTTTTACGTATACAAAATTATTAGCTGGGTTTATACTTATGATTTATTAACATAAATAAATCCAAAAACTGTCAAGAACAAATGACGTGTTCAAAAAATCAGGACATATGTGGTGCAAGAACAGGATAAGTGACAAGTAACTCATTCCATTCTCGCACCAGTTTAAAGGTAGCTGTTACAATGAAATTACATTTTGAATCGACAGTTCAGAAGCTTTGGACATGGCCACATCCATTCATTCCACTTCATTTCATAAGATTTTTTAATTTTTTTTTTGTATTTTTCACATTTCTGAAAAGTTATTTAAAAACAACATATTTTCTCCAATGTTGACACCCTTTAAAGGCTAAGCAAGGTGGCTTTGGATAAAGGTAAGTAATTAAAATCATCTTTAACTTTAAGAATTTATTATGTTGCATCTACACGGAATACTGGAATGCCCTGTATTGTTTACTGATTACAGTCTAATATAAAATCGCTTTGTTTGTATAGGTTGAAGCGGAAGATGAAGAAGATGAAAAGGAAATTGAACATCAGAACTTTGAAATTAGGAAAAATTTAAATAGACTAGTGCGTAGACCGGGAAAAAATTTTACAGAACTTTTCGGTACCATAAAAACGTTGAAAGGTGAAGCCGATATTCAAGTGCAGGTAATTAAACTGATCATTAAGGAGTCGCTGAGGTTCAAAAGACATCATCTAGCAAGTTTACTTGAGGAACACATACAAAATTTATTGAATATTGAGAATAAATGATTAACTTTTTTATTAAGTAGGTAATTTTTCCGCTATTATTTACGTATTTTAATATTTATTTAAAATTTATATGGATAAAGTTGTGCATTTTACTTTTTTAACTATTTGTATATTGAGAAAATTATGTTGAGAACAGATTTTGAAATTACAACAGCTTTTTATTATTTGGATTTCTGCAAGTTTTAAATTCAATGTAAAAGTTATTACTTTCCACACTGAGTGTTAACTAACACTATTAGTTGATGGGAACTCTTTTTTTTTTGGCACTTAAATTCAACAGGTTTTCTGCAACTGTAATTCCTCCTATCCTACTTCCCTTATTCCTTTAGGAAAATAGGTTTTAAAGATTATTGTTTAGACAAAGAGTGATCGCAAAAAACCTGTGATTTTCACCTGTTTGTTCACAATTCGCAGAGTATTAAAAACAAAATACATAAAAATATGTTTTTGGTTGCAAATTACTTGTCATGAACAACTGAAATGAGCATAGCTTTTAGTATTTTGAAAATTTAAAAAATCAGCCCTATTTAGGGGTTGAAAAAATGCCAAAAATGAAGAATTTGAATATTACCAATTGATATAAAAACTATTAGCATGTGAATTATTTTAATATATATTTTTTTTGGAATTTTTACAATTATTTCTGATATTCTCTATTTTTGGTTTGATTGTCTATTTGATTCCACCCCCTGAGCGCGCTTAAGGCTGGATTTTCTAATTCAACATGCAAATCTATCTTTGTATCAAGAATCATTCGATAGAAAAATTCACATGCTATTAGTTTTTATATTTATTGGTAATATTCAATTCTTCATTTTGGGTGTCCTTTCAACCCCTAAATCATCTTCTCAGCTCATCTTAATTTTTTACAACGAGTAATATGAGACCAAAAACATATTTTTATCTATTTTCTTTAGTTCTCTGCGAATTCTGAAAAAACGGGCGATTTTTGCGGTCATTCTTTACATAAGTAACATAGTATGCAATAGTCAGTACCCAAAACAGCTGATTTAATAGCAAATCCGAGAAGAAGCACCTAACTTGAAAATCTTCAACAAGCACATAAAAGTGCGACACATATACAGAGTGGTCTTAAGTTTTCTCCCAATATTTTCGGAACATTAAAAAGTAAAGGTATGGTCCTTTTTCTTTTTTTATACAGAATAACTCGGATTTAAAGTCAGGACCAATATGTAACAGTATGTTTGAAAATAAATAGGAGTTTTTTTATGTAAACATTTTTCAAAAAATGCTCCAATTTTGAGACACGAGAAAAAATTTTGAAAATATACTTTTGAATCTATATTTTCTTGGCAAACAAAAATTTGCAGATTTTTGACATTGTTTTTACATGACTAACACGATTCAATAAGAAAGTATAACATGTTCTACCACCAGTATTGTAGCTAAGTCGTAAGCGCCCTGGGCAAGATTTTAATTTGGCGCCCCGCAAAATTTGTATTGTAGGAAGAGGAACAATACAATAGCAGGCTGCGGGTTTTGCGAGTGCGCCCAATTGTAGTTTGCGCCCCTGGTAGCCTCCTTTGTAGCCAGCCCTAGCTGGACTGTTCTATATTTTAAACTGAATTAAAACAATTCTTTAGGAGACTTGATATCACAAATTAAAGCAGTAGATTTCTATTTTTATTTTAACTTTATGATCCTGCATCATGAAGAGGGAGGCTCTTACGGCAAAATATTTATTCGAAAAACCTTATTTAATTTCAAGTTTTATCATTCTTTTCTCAAAATAAACATGGTTTCTGTGATGTGTTAAAATTCTTCTGAGATATTTTATTTATATTTTAAAACTTGGGGCTTTAATTATATTCAGAAACATTACTTTTATGCATAAATGCTTAAAAGATCATTTTTAAATTATAAATTCTATATTACATTTGTGGAAAATATATGTATGTTATGCTCCGTCTAAAATCATAAAAAGAACAAATATTCTTATGATATGTCTTAGGATATACCTTATTTTAATTGCAAGGATTCCCAGAAATCCCAGAAATCAGATATTACTACAGGAGAGGGGGAGGCATATTACTCGATAGGCCACATTTGCACTTAGGAACAACTTATGTTGGTAACCCCTAATCACCATTCGGTGAAGGCATGAGGAAAAACTGGAAAACCTCATTAAGTAGAGAGATGATCAAACACCGATTGGTATCAATCATCGATCTAAACCAACATTCTTCTACCCTACCTTAATTCCTCTAAGAATATAGCTGATCTGCGATTGTCGGGCTACATTCATCAATTTAAGTAATGACTCATTCGCATTTATTAAAATACAAATTAAAAAAAAAATAGAAATAGCCAGATATGACGAAAAAACAAATAATTATATAAATATGTATACAGCTTCCATTCTTATTGTCAGTATGGGATGCACAATAATTTTACTAGTAATTAACACGTTGACTGCGAGATAACCTCAATGTACTTTGTCCGTGACTGCAATACATATCTTCGGGGATATGTAACAAAATTTCTTCTGTGTGCGGTACATATCCCTGGGGATATGTAATTTTATTTATATTTGACCCTATAAAATTAAAAATAACACAATTATTGCTATAAATTTGCATGTATCTGTAACTATATATCCTAGGATACTAACGTTTTCATTCGCAGAGTTTTGAAAAGAAAATAATAAAAAAATCATTATTTATAAAAACTACAGATTTTGCAACTTCCACAAGATACAGTAAAAATGTGATTATTGAGATTCGCATATTTCTTATAAAGAGTACATACCCTCCGAGGTATGTACCGCAGTCAACGTGTTAATAGGTAAGCTATTGTTTAATTTGTTTTAATTTCTCTAATATGTCGTCTGCTTGGAAAAGAAATATCATATCAACGATCAAACTGAAATTACAGTCAACCTACAAAATCAATGACTATTAGCACTTTGTTAAGGATTGTAATATGGGTGGCAAGATAATGTAGACATATAAAAAATATTTTTTTGTACACAAACCACCCATCTAATCAAAATTCTATAAGAGGCCCAAAAACTTCCAAATGGTATCACTTATCAAATAAAAAATAGTTGTCATTATTGCCCAAAAGAAGAAAAAGTTATGAACGAATATTACAGGGTTCATAGTTCAAAATTAATATAAAATTCCCTGACTTTTCCAGGTTTTCTCTTATAAAAGAAAATTCAGGTCATTTTTGGTGTTTATGCATTACACTTTTTCTAGATTGGACTCCATAATCTTTTTTATACCTCTTATGAAAGTTTCAAAATCACAAATAGTTTTCTTTTTTAAGAACCCAGAGCCGGTTTTCACAAAATTTCCAGTTGCAAACATTAAATTCCCTGACTTTTGTGAATAATTCCCTGACTATTCCATGTTTTTTATGAAGAATAATGAATTCCATAACTTCCCGGTATTCCAGGTCACTATTAAAAAACACTATAACATCAAAATGTGTCTGTTTAACTCAAACGTCCACACTCCAAAAATAATTAAAATCGATTAATACGTATTCGAGTTATTTACAAAACTCAAAAAATTCTCACGAACTTTGAGGCCATCTAGCGGCAAAACGAAGCGTTTTCGGATATGGGTGAATTAGCCTAAATCTGCCTATTTTGAGTCTACAAGAATCTGTGGTCTTCCGTTGTACACGTTATTCTCGAACATCCTGTATAGCTTATTTTGCCTAGTAGGAAACAAGTAGTACTTTAATAGTACCTATAGATTAGCAGGTTGCTCCCTGACAGTAGGTACAAATGTTTCACGTCAATAGGCGTTGAGTAAATATGACACTTTGTAGATTCATAGATAGACATCCAAATATCTAAATCGTTTATGTCATCTAGAAAATCGACTGATTTTAGCTCTATATTACTACTAGAACAATGTAATTGTTTCCAAAATATCATTAGTTAATACGTTTTCAAATATTTTAATACTAATTAATTATGTGAAGGGGTAAAAAAAGGACAATTTATGAAAATATATTAATATTAATACACAATATAAAAGTACTTATATCAATAATCTGTGCAATATAAAATAAAAATGTGAGTAGATTAACAAAAAAATTGTATCTAAAGTTGTACATTTAACTTATTACTATAATATAACTAGATGCTTGTATAAAGGGTACTTAGTAAAATAGTATTTATTTACTCAAGGAGTACATTCTTTATAAATTTTAAATATTTTAGAATTTAAACAAACATTCGTTCCTAGAGTCCTTGTCTCCATTTTCTATTTCTCTAAATAAATACTGATATTAATTACTTGAGCTCTACTCAAGCAATATTATGTATAACACGGAGCATTAATCGCCTACTGTTCAAAAATAGGCTAGTTTATGTTAAAACTGATTGTTGACATAGACATTGTGAAGTTAAATTTTACACTTTACCCTCAACTGGTTTTTAGGGGCTGATTTCAAAGCTCACGTAGAGAATTCTCTTGGCAAAAAAATTCAAAATAAAGAATAGAATTTTAATGTTTCAAATGCAAAACAGAATCATTTTCAAGAGATGTAAGTAAAACATGAATTTTTTGTGCCAATTTAACAAAAAAGTTTTCTATCCTGCATAAAGCAATTAAATAATTTCTTCAACTGAAATAATATAATAAATATAATCGGAAAGAAGTTTTTACTAAAAAAACCCTTGGACGGAAATAGTACGTATTTTTCTAAATGTGTATGTGCAAAAAGTTCCCAGGAAATACAGAAACCTGAGCACTATGTTGGACAAAAATAAGAAACCTTTATAATTGAAGAAACATTTTTTTTTAGTGTTTATTACAAAAAACTATTTAGTAAGTAGATTTAAAAATTTGATTTGTTATAAAGATTTTTTTAACGCTTCGATAAGATTCAATCTAAAATAATTTTGAGAATTATCGACTGCAACATTTTGTCCAACATAGTTGTAGGTGCAGGTGTAGATGTCATGTTACATGTTGCCACCTTATTTCAGGCATGTGAATTTCCTGGGCTGTATCCTAGAATCTATCCTTCCCAGTAAGCATGTCATTATCATTCAACATTTGGAGATCTTGGAACTGTAGAAATTTTTCCTGATCGCGGATATGTGCATAATTCGCAGAAAGGCACATAAGGTAATGTACCTATAACAAAAAAATTAAATAAAAGAATGACGAAACTGACACATCAATTACTGAACTTGAAATTGTACAAACTTATTACATAAAACTGCCACTAACAGATTTTGATAAAAAAATTATTTTTCAAAATATTAAGGGATTAAGTGTACAAAAAATGTAAAAGTTATACATCAAAAATGCATTTCTTGAAATGTTTTTAGTAGGCTTAGCTTTCCCTGCCTGCTCTACAAAACCGCTTCTTGATATTTTTTAAAATAATAAACCAGTACATACTCTTGAAATAACTTGACTTACCAAACTTAGAATGACCAGTACAGAAGCAACAGTTGCCAATATAAACATTAACTCAACTTTTTCTACATAATCTTTACAGAATGCTTTTACATTGCTCTCTCCAGACACTTTCATATGCTCTTGTCTGGTACCAGCAGGGAACATGAAATCTAGAAAAGGAACATAATTTTATTTTGTTTTTAACAGGATAATGAAAAAAGACTTACAAAATTGTGTTAAATCGATGTCATCTTGTAATGAAGCAACTCTGGGATTTTCGCACATTTTCCAAAATATTGTAAAAACAAAAGTTACAATTACTAAGAAGCAGAACATCAGCAGCCAGGCTATTTGCAAAACGTAAGTGATACACATGAACTGAAAAAAAAAATTACTTGTAACAGGCCGTTTCTAAAACATGATGCCAAACAAAGAGGGGACAGGAAATATTTTAAGCAAAACGAAAGAAGTTAAAAAGGCATTGTTTTTAAATAACTCCAAAATAGCTGATTGCATGTTTTCCTCTTACAATGAGTTACAACAGTGACATTTTCTATAAGTTTTAGATTAATTTGAAAATTGAAACTGAAACAAAATTACCCGAACACTGAAAATTTTTTAAGAAGTTGATAACAATTCAAATTAGAATTCGATCTCGCGACTACTTACCGTAGCGCAACTAAGCCGTCCACTAACTCTTGATCCCCAGCCTCTATAGACCTTATGTCTGGTGGCACCAGTAGCTAAAAATCCCACTGTTAAAATCATCAATCCTAATGCTCCCATACAGGCACCAATTAAGACAAATGTCATTTTAACTGCATCTACCCTAAAAACAATCGATGTACAATGTAACTTTTTATTATTATAGCAATGTTACCAAAATAGCTGCATACTAAACACTTCACTAAACATTAATACGGCAAGTGTCGCACCTCTGTACATAGTACCACAGAATACGACAACACCTAAGGCACACATAATCGTTGCAATGAGAGTAGCATATGGAATTCGTGTAAGGCACCTGTCACAGCAACCTGGAAAGACGGTTTCATGATTATCCACATCTTATTAATTTGCTTATTAGTGGTAGACTCTACCTCTTTCATCTAATGATTCTAACATTGACTGCATGGAATATACACTTTCCTTAGATTTAGAAAATTCATGATCTAAATTAGTTTCTAAAAGTCTTAGTGGCACATCACGTTGATTTCTAGTCATATTTATTAACTGATTATTTAACACCCATGAAATTAATAAGAGAAACTAATTCGTGTGACTAATGATATATGTAGGTAGGTACTTGGCGAAGTGATTAAGGTTTCAATAAATTATTATAGATAAGCCACACCTTGAGATAAGATAAAAGATTATTTACAAACAATAGATTAGTAACACCTTTAATAAGTACTTACCCATTTTGATTCGATAATTTCAGTCTTTTAGAAGTTGGGAGTTGTTTAAATAATTATAAACCGTTCATTTCAATGAATTAACTACAAAACATACAGTAATTATCATAGAAACTTCCGTGCTATGTTACCATTACAAATAAATCTGTTTTATGCATAGACCTTATAGTTTATATGTTTTATGGTTTAAAAACTATTATATGTTTAGTGGTTTGTAAGGTCTATGGTTTTGTGACATCTCCTAAAGCTCCCTATTCATGTTCTATTTCTAAAAACAAGTTCTAGTTGGAGTAGACTACAACGAAACAACGTAAACTTAAACATGATCTGTGACGTAAACTGTGAACTCTAAAGGCTTGTTTAGGTTCTGTTAGCGGACAGTTTTAAAACAGTTTAGAATAGTTACCCAAATATATATCTTGCCTTAGATGTTCTTATGACTGAAATGGTCACCTATGTTGAACAGTCCCAAAACCGTTCTCTGTCAAAACCAAAACACAACTCTAACTAAATACTTATAAGCCTGAATTCAAGAGAGCCTGAAGTACCCTATCCCCGCACCAGCTCGCGAGTCTCCAACTCAAAGGCCGCATGCATTCCCTAGCTACAAGCTATTCCCAAAAACACACTCCTCACGACGACTACCCCCGGAGGACTAAATAAGTCAGCGAAGAAAGAAAAATCAAGATACGAAGAGCGCCAGAAGAGGCTCCCCTGCCGGCGGTCAGCCAGGGCAAGAGGAGGTCCTACAAAGCGCCTACACCGGCCATGCTTGTGGTCGGGGTAAACGATGGACGGGAAGCCAAAAATAACGGCGCGCCTAGATCCGCGTGCATTCGTGATCACATATATGTGCGAAATTCAGAAATTAGGTCCATCCACGTGAAATGTCCGTGATAGTTTGTACTATCTCTGTCATTCTACCACATACGTATATTAACCATTAACTTTCTTCCGTTTTGACCTTGATGGTAGTCTAAAGTCGCTTTACTGATGGACAATTGGATTTTAATGATTAAGTGGTGACAACGGATCCGTGATCACTCATGCATGTGGCGGGCTCCAGACGTGCATATTTTAAGGTACGTTATCTTCGGGGCGACTAATATTGGTAACTGTGACGCTGCGATCATTGCTAGTGACTATATTGAGACATGTGAACATACCTTTAATCTATGGTTTAGCGCACAAACCATAATACAGCTTAACAGTATTTTAGCGTGAAGCCATTTTCAGGATTCATTCATTCTACGTTTATACTACATAGTATTTATCTCTGTTGTATGTTTCGTGGATGCTTTCTCATTGTTTACCTATTAATATAACTGACTTACTATAACGAATAACGTCCAATAATATTACCTAGTGTAAAAATTTTAAATATACGTGAATCACAATATCTAGTGTTTAAAACAATTACTACCTACTTACAGTTCTGGGTCACCCTGTACAACTGTACAGCTTTATTCATATAAAAATATGTAATATATAGGGATTATCTTTAAAATGACTTAATTTCAGTAGTGGTTTATCTTTTTAATTTTTTTAGATATAAAATTTATTTCAATTATTTTACTTTTTATTTGTTCTTTTTACACAATGAAACAATTGAAAGAAAAAATGTAGTATTTTAAGTAAGGGGCATAAAAATATCGATGATACAATTTTTCAATAAATTAGCACCTAAAAATTTTCATGACTGGACTGTTTATATTAATTTTTTTTTTGAAAATAATAAAATACCGAATATTAAAATAATTTATATTTAAACGTAGTATGTATATGTAATATGTATATACAGTCTATTGACAATGTCAAATATATAAAAATAAATAGGTACATGAACACTGCTGTTCCTTAATAACTTTGGTCTTATAATTATGTATATATATATAAAATAAATTATAAAATCCTCGAGTAATAAATACAGACTCAAAAAATTAAGACAAAATACGCGTAAAATGTTTTACTGCTCGAAGATCTACATAAAATTAAACTATTACAAACACCAAACTAAAGACTAGATAACAAACCAATAATAACCAAAAATATTCCAAAGACAAATTTCATAAATAATTAACCGAAATCATTGAAATTTCAAATTTTGAGAGGTTTAAGATCACAGAATTTTTTTGTTATAAACTAAAATACAATATATCACTAAACTGTGATGTAATCAATATCACTTCCACTTCCTCAGTTTATGTGAAATTTCCACTTATATAAAATACATACATTAATGTACAGAAGTGATTGAGATCATGATCATATCTTGATATACAGTGCACTTCACTTTTACTCAATTTTGTATTCTATTAATACAATTTCAAATTAAGTTATCGCACGAGAAAATTATAAAGTGAAAATCACTGTTTCAAGAGGCAAAAACTAAGTACAATACTAAATGGTAAGAGATCATTTATGATATGAAAACCATACTGACATTTAAGAATTAATTTTTGGTTAAGCAATTTGTAACTATAAACATTCAACTTCCATTAATAAATTAATCCATAAAATGAATAACAATTTTGCTGGTCGCAAAGATCAACGATAAATAAATATGTACCGAGTGAGTCAATCTCTTTTCTGACACAGAATTCTAATATTGGTGTCAAGATAAAAAGTAGCTATAAGGCCTGAAAAAAAAAAAAAAAACCTGGTGAAAACCTCATTTCATGTGTTGCTTGTTTAAAAGATACATTTTTGTGGAGTCAAAAAACTTATCGAGAATTTTTTTATTTTAGTGGATCCTACAGTTTTTTTGCGTAGAACCCAGTGACGTTCGTGATATTTCTCTAAGATTTCCGGTTTTTCAGTTACAACACAAATATATAGTTTTTTGAATCTGCATAAAATTTGCTTTCAAATAATGTATATACATATTTACACAAAACGTTCCATTAAGATATCAACATATTTTTTTTTATTGCAATTCAACAGCAGTTTCATGATTAATTAATTGGCCAAAATTAAAAATGCTCTGTATCTGTTAAACGAAACAAGGTATCAGGATATGATTTTCACCATTGAATTTTACCAGAAATCTGCCAAGTGTTAAGATTGATCCACCCCGTACAATCTAAATTTGGCAACAAGGGTTAAAAGAGGATATTCTCCACCTCTGTAGGAGTCTCAGTCTGGAGATACTGCGGACTGAGAGACTCTGAATCTTTGCTATTCGAGGAAAGTTTTATTACTTTATTGTCGATGATAGCGGCCAGAACTTCCATCCTCGCAGGTCGAGTTTTCAGCATCGTGCAGATATCCACGATAGCCCTATCAGAAGATGGCAATTTCAACCCTCTGACTGCAGAACAGATGCAGGCTGCTGCAATGAGGGAAGGAAATGTTTCTATCAAGCGCGGTTCTGTAATAAAAATAAAAGTACATTTAGTGTATGTAGAAGTGCACGAACTTTGAGGGAATATTTATTAGAAAATAGAACCAGATTTCCAGTGTCAGTTTTAACTCTAGCGGCAATGATGGGTTTAATTTTTTTTTAATTCAAACCAGTTAATATTTTTGCACTATTAAGCCGGCTCTAGATGATGCGTTTTTTTGTCAAATATTTGCCAAACATACATACATACAACAAATGCTATATCGTGTGAATCGATACATTCGTAAGCATGATTGTCAAACATTTATTTGACAAATAAATGTTGCCATCGTCTGTAACCGTTATTAGATTCCTTCTCTTCAATATTAAATAATCATTACTTGTAGTAGGTAAGTAATTTAATATTTTAATTTATTTACTCATGCTTGTCCAGCTTCATTCTAAAATACTATAATTTTACTAACACACAATGAATGTATCCTAAAGCAATTGAATTTGTGATTTTATTCCTTTTATTTGCCTTTGAAAAATAAAAGTTGTTTGCCTAGAAAATCAATAATTTGAGGTTATCTAATAATTGTGGTATGACTGACGTCTTGAAAATTCATATTCTTCAAAAAAAAAATAAGAATCTGAAAAACTAACAAAAATATTTTCGATTGCAAGAACCTTTTTGTGCTCTATTATAATAGCGAATAACTTATAATACGTTTGTAGACGACTGAAAGCTGCATTATTTATTTTATTACAAACTTGATTACAATTGCTGGAGCTGGAGCAGTGTCATTTTTTAATTTAAGTAGAAAAAACTTTTTTAAGTCGAACAACGTTATACATAAAGGAATATTTAATTTGTGACATAAAATCTGCCATTAAAATTTCACTACGCATATGTTTAATAAAAAATTGAACCATTATTTATAAAGTATAATGTTTGCAATATACCTGATACTATTTTTAAATGTTTCAAATCTTATCCATATTCAAATTGAAAAGCTTTATTTTTACACATTACAGTACTTCGATAGTAAAGGAAGTAGTTGCACATTTTATAATAGACAATATAATTCAGTGTTTAGTAAAAATATGGAAAAAAACTGCGGAACTTCCCTGTAGGATACACTAAAAAGGAAGTCATATCTCACAATGATCATAATGTCACAGATTACCTCTGTGACAATGTTAATTAATTCTGGCGCATAGTAGATATAAAAAGCATAGGTATTTAACTAGGTGATTAGATTAGAAATGTTAAAATGATAACTATACAGCATGTAATACATGGAATAGACTAGCATGTTTACTGTAAATACGTAATATGTTTGATTTTTATATGTACTAGTCACACAAAGTGGTTGGACATATCACAAAAATGAATATCGCTCTGTAATTTGAAATCAGGTGGAGATATCAAATATCTCATTTGATAATTAAAAACAAAGGATATATTAACAAAAAGGCAAAAATGTTAATATCTTCGGGTATATGGGAAAAATTAATTTTTCTTTAAAATATGTTTTTACGATTCTTAGAATTTTATGAAAAACATTATTTTTGCATTTAAAAAATTGGAACTACACCATATTGTAGAAAATGTCATTTAAAACAAAAATAATCGTTTGCATTTCCTTCGCAGAGTGCGATCTAACCGTGACGTCGAAAAAAACAGATAATAAAGCACAAACTGCAATATTTAGAATATAAAACCTGAAGTACAAAATTAAAATTTATTAATTTAAAATAATATTTACTACATACTGTCTTAATTAATATTAATTTAGAAATTTTTTGACACTGAATAAACAAACGGTTGCAGTCCGTTTGGCATATTCCTTTGACGGTAAAAATAACTGCCGCTTCTTGAAAATTATATGAATGTCTAGAAATTGTAAACGATAGGTTGCGAAGAAAGTCAACAGGGCGTAACCCTAACGTAGAATTCTTACTAATATTGAAACCCGTTATAACTAGAGAAATAATTATATATTTAACGTTTACTTCGTGTACTTGTTTTTACACTTCTATTCGTCAGATAGAGATGAAACTTGATATTTCGATTTCTTCAATCCAGAGAATTCTTAAACACAGTTAGTTACGGCCTTCGCATCAAGGTTTACTTTCACCCGGCATATGTATTTTCTGAGTGTGGAATCCATAGTACGGTAGCACTTACATTAACGTCGCAACTCTGTCATGTCGAAGTCAAAATTAAACAAAATTATAATTCTTCGACATGAAATAATTTTCGGATTCGTGGTATAAAAATTTCATCGCCCAGATAAGCCGACCACATGTTACTTATTTTCTGGTTCGATTAAATAAATATTTAAATGTGTTATTCACCTGCGTCGTTATTAACTATAACAAAATTCACCCTCTGTGCCACGTCAGTTGGTCATAGTTTTTATAATTGTAATTTCTTCCTGAACAGCCAGTAGTGGGGAAAATACGCTTGTTCTATGCCGTACCAGCACCTGTTCCTTCCTTGTTAAAACTAATAATATATGTACAAGATAAAGACGAAATACCACGGTAGGAAATAAAAATTATTTTAGATTATACAGGTAATGGAGTAATATCTACAATATGCGAATATGTCAATTTTTCTTTCTTTACTTGACATACAGAGTGTTCCGGAAATATTGGTAGCGTACTTGGTCATAGGTGGATTCAAGTTTGCCTTGTACTTGGATGTAACTAAGTTCATATAAATGTCAGGAGGTGATTTTTTTTCATCATTTTGAAAAGAAATCGATTATTTTAAAAATTCGATCTGTAATTGATTCCTAATTTTGTTCCAACGGAAAAAGATTAGTTACTTTTTTTATAATATAAACTTATCTAAAAAAACTATCGTCATAAATACATTTTCAAGTATTATCACCAAGACAAAAAAAATTCTAAAATACTCCAAAATGCAGGCATTATGAAGAAGAAAAAAAACCTAAAAAAAAGATCATATACATTTTTAATTGAGAGAATTTGTTTGTTCAAATTTCACCCATGTTTTGAAATTCATTGAAGAAAACACCTAAAAGCATTTAACGGGGCACAAATCCTTCCAAGACTACAAAACCGTAGATAGAACGTCGAAGACGATCTATGAAGTCTATAGGAAGGCATAGCGAGGAACAACGGAGTTTCACGCATGTTTCCAAAATTTCCGGAAAATCCCCCTATGAAGTTTAGATTGCCAAGAAAACTTGCAGCAAGCAGATGATGCTGATCCAAATTTTACGAACTTCGAAACAAAGCAAGACCTTAGAATCCTTGCAAAGCCAGCGCAGTTTGTTCGGACGTCCACCCATGTACCATACACGTCAATAACCAAATAGCTCCAAATTGTTATACTTCTGTCTTATATGCATATGTTAGATCGTTCCATTTATAGTAAATTAATACAAAAGTTACAATAAATTACACAAAAAAATCATAATTCAAAACCGAGATAAAAATTTTCAATCAAATCTCCCATAGCTCACGTAGCATCTACCACCCAGGCACTGTCCTAACGTGAGGTGAAAATCCTAAGGGATAAGCTTCCATACACAAGCGCCTAAAGCTTCCATACACAAGCTTCTAAAGCTTCCATACCATTCCACTTTACGGAGGCCTCACAAACACAAGCTCATAAAGCTTCCATACACAAGGCCTCTAAGGAGGCATTACAAAGTTAAATTTACAGGGATTTTATGGTAGAGTCGCCATATAATATTTCCCTATCTAACTTTGATTGGCTGTCTAACTATATTATATATTAACAAGGGTATTACTCAAAATTTGCAACTACCGCCTTCGCTAGTGGTACGATCCCTGCTCGGTTTCAGTTTTGCAAGCCATTTTACATCCCCGTGCCTATATCCGCCGTTTCATGTAGCACATGAAAAGTGACTGAACCAGGAGCCGGGAGGTTCCCAGGCGAGCGGATTCAGCGCGCGTGGTCCTTCAGTCTTTTAATGGAAAGTTCATGTCAAAGGTAATTTCAGGCACGGTGGTAATTGCGTCAGAGCAGGTGGCAGACATAAGGCAGGTAGCGCTGCGCAGTACCACGTCCGTCATTCGATGGTGCACCTTGCACAGGCTCGCGAGATGGAGCAGCCGATTAAGCCACATTAAATCTTCAGCCGGTGAACATCTGTCGGCCGGGACGCCGCAGGTCGAGGAAAGCCAGTCTCGTCGGTGGACCAAAGTATTCAAATTTTGATTTTGGAAGAGATTTGGATCGAAAATTCAACTAACTTCCTGACGAAGTTGACAAATGTTAATAATTACTTTTTCGCAAATCGCAGCTACTAAAGTAGTACTATCGAAATAAATCTTAATAACTGTCAAATAAATTTAAATAATTTGCAACAACCTGTCGATAGCAACTTCGTAAGTGGATTTTCATGATTGGATTTTAACTGACTGAATTTTCTGAATCAGTAAAGTTGATCATCGATTGATCAACTTTATGAACACGAATACAAAAGTTAGTAACAACCAACCCCACTTAATTCTGTCTCATTAGAACGTTAAATATCCTGTCAATGTAATTTCACATTGCACGACTTACCCTGGGGCAACAGAAAAAGAAATACGTTGTGACAACTGTTCTTGGGTCTTGTAGCAGCCTAACCTTGAACACGAAATATAGTAGGTCAGATGTATTATTATATTAATGGGTCACAGAGTTTTATATCCTACAGTACTTATTTAGAGAATATTATTACAATGTCTGCGACGACGTAACAATAGTTAATTATAATAATTGTATATAAATTAATTTTATTAAACAGATGCCAGAAACAATCAAACAACGATTTCATTAAACTTAGTTTAGCTGCTACAGAATACTGAAGTTTGCAAAAATAACACTTCAGAAAGCAGAAAGCGACATCTATCTAGAAATATCAGCGTTTCAAATTTCAGTTAACAAACATACAGTTTATGATCACTACAAAAAAGCATTTGTTTTGATAGATTTTGAAAAAATCAATTGTTCTATGATGCCCTCTAGCAGAAATTTTATTTCCAATTTAAATTGT